TATAAGTATTATTACCAAGTTTCAAGTCCCTGCGTTTATTTATATCCGAATCACAGCAAAAAAAACTCACAAAAATTAAAATTACTTAAAAGTGGCTCAAAAGTTTTGACAATGAAACCGTAAGAAATTAAATCAAAAAGGAAGCAGAATATTTATTTCGTGATGTTTCGATTAAATTTTTTTTTCTGATAGAAAACGTCATCCGCGTTTTTATAAAAAAAAATAAAATCGTGAAATTGTACGTTCTCCTACGTTTTTACCCAATTAATTGTTTTTATTTAAAAACGGCGGCAAAAATCAAAAAAATGACCTCTGTAAAGTACCATATAGATAACTTGAGCTTTCAGAAAAGTTGCTACTCGTAAAAAATCGGAGCAAGTTTACTAGGAGAAAACGTGTCCGCGGTCTAGAACAAAGAAATAAACGGCATTGTAAAAATAACAGCTCTCTGGCTACGCTCGGAATCTAAAATTAAACATGAGTACTTCTATAGAAAACACTTACGGTTTTATTGGTAGAATTAATAAAATTAATATTATGCCGGGTTACAACACGAGTTCTCGTGACTTTAAAAATTTATATTCATCCATTCCTAAACGCGAAACGGTACATTTTTTAAAAAATAAACTTGTACATTGTAACAAATTTAATGCAAACGAAGTACGAGAAATTATTCAATCGAAACTATTTCCAATATAATAATAAATTATATTCGCAAATACGGGTTAGTTATGGATGGTGTTTTAAGTGCTCGTTTATCTGAGATTTACACGAAAAATTACGAAAACGATAATATTATCGACAAAAAAAAATTATACAGTCCACAAACAAAAGCGTATTACAGATATGTTGACGGCACGTTCGTTTTATTTCGAGGTGCGGACAGGCAGAAAATTTAGTTAGCCGCTTAAACGAAACAAATAAAAACTATTAAAATTTGCACCCCAAACACAAATGAATAATACATTTAATTTCTTAGATCTTACAGTTTCCACAGTAAACAATAAATTTGATTTCGGTATTTATAGAAAACCGACACAGACTGACGCTATAATACCAAACGGTTCTAATCACCCCGAATTTCGTAAAAACATGTTTTAGGAATTTTTTTTTTTTTTTAAACTTTTGTTTTAAGGCGTACAATCTGTAAATGAATCATTACAATAAGTATGCGTGCGGAACTATATAAAATAGCTTGACAAAGATACACGACAAAAGCAGCCGCCCAATGGTGACACTTTGTAATGTGATTAGACTAAATTAAAATTTAGGTAAATTTAGATTTACCTTTACGTAATTAGTCACGTGATATTTAGGTCTCCACACCACTTTCTCTTCAATCTACGAGAGGGGGGGGAGGTGGGTGTTAGAAAATAACCATAATATGTGTTACGGTATTAATACAGACTTGGAAATATTAAACAGATAAATTAAATCATTTATATTAATTCAGTTTTAGAAGAATTGCACACATACAATGAAATGAAGAAGACAATTTCAATAATATTTTTAATGTTCAAACCGATTTTAAAAATAATATCTTATACCAATATACATCTTGGGTAATAAATAATAACCGAATTATTTTTTAATTCTTAACATATCTATGTGTAATAATTACTGATTTTGAACAATCTCTCCTATTAAAATAAATCGTTTCCATAATCTTTGTAAAATTACCAATTTGTATAATTTTTTTTTTTTTTTTTTCTATTTGTTCATTCGTTTAATTTTTTATTTTATTCAGTCTCGTTTTATACGTTTCATCGTTTTTACGTGACCGTGATAGAACCGATGATGGATTTTTAATTCGAAACCGGTCGTACAATACAATTATCATAATACTCCGGGCATTGTGCCATTTATTTATTTTATTTATATGTATATGTAAATTTGTATTTATTCGTTTTATTTTTAACTATAAATATTTTTCATTTTCATTACTTTTTTAACGCTGTTTAACGGGACAAAATAATTTTTTTCTTTTAACCGGGAAAAAAAAAAATGTCCGATTTTATCCGGATAGTTCAATTATTATAATAACTATGTAACTTTTATTTTCGTTTTCATCTAGATAATATTGCAACTACATAGTACGTTCCGTCTCTAGCTGAATAAAAATAATATGTAAAATCATGTTTATATAATTTTATGTAATCCAATTATTCCATCAGCTGCGGTGTCCGAGTGGTTAAGGAGTTGGACTTGAAATCCAATGGGCTATGCCCGCGCAGGTTCGAACCCTGTCCACAGCGAAATGATGCATAATTTTTTGCGTTTTTTTTTTACTTTTTTTTTGAGTTTTTTTTTTCAGATTTCAAACTAAGCGAGAAACACTTTGGTTTAATATTACAATACGTACTTTTTTTTCCTCAGTAAACTGATTTTTGATTTAAAATTGTGCTCCCATAATCAATTTCAGGCGTGATTTTAATTAAATTAAAAATAATCGTAGAATCGTGCGATATAACAAATAACATGTGAATTTATTTGCATATTAGTCTTTTATGGAGCAATTTTCAAACCATTCTGGCAAATTTTAATTTTTTTTTTTCGAAGCGTTCAAGTTGTTTTGGGGTTTTACGAGTAGGGAAAAGAGTTAGGGAATTTATTTTTATCCGCGTTCCAACGTCATACCTGCCTTAAATCCGTAAAAAAGATATATCAATAACATTTTCAATTCAAATCTACGCATAACCATAACATAATATAATATAATTAATATAATCGATTGCATATATTTAAAAACATGTAATTAATCATAATTTAATTAGTGCAACGAGTTCACCGTTCCCCGCTGGGCACGTATTAGTATCATACAACGGTGATGTTTATTTGGGCAAAAATACAATTTCTCTTCGATTACACTTTGGGCACCCCCGTAATATTATGTTTTACTTGCCGAGGAAATCCTAAGATGACGCAGGTATACGTTATTGTAGCATCAAAATTGATTTTTTTTTTTTTTTTTTGGGTCCGGATATTTTTGTTTGTACCTACTGTTTCACGAGTAACAATAGGAATTGTTTTTGTTCTTAATTCGTTGTATTCTTCTATTTAAACCATTCCCCGCTCCGCAACATCGTTCACAACGATCGCTTTACTAATGTTTTTTTATCGTGTTTGTCGTTCTCCCAAACGTCGACGCGTCATTATTTAAAAACCGAAACGGAATTTCGAATACGATAAAACCTCTGCGAGTATCGTCGGATACAAAATCGTCAAGATTTTTCCTCGTGACAATACCGGGTTCCACGCTTATACGTTTCATCGCGCACACTCGTACGTTCCGCCAATTTCCGTATTCCAAAAACGTCAGCATCGAAAAAAACGCAATTCGTTCTTCTGATAAGTACCGAACGTGGCCAAGAAACTTCTTCTTGGCTTTTTTTCGTTTGTATGTACATTGATTCGTACGCCATTTCTCAGACGTTTCAGAAGTCGTATAGGCCATTTCTAGGCGAGCACGCTTGTAACTCGTGCGAGTTCTTACGATATAACAGGTAAGAATACAAACGTCTCGGATTCCGGCCGTCTTTATATTTTTCCGTCAGCTCGAATAACACAATATATTTGCTCCCGGTACAGACAATACATTTAACATCACGGAAATAAAATGTACGATTGCTTTTGCCGCCGATCGAACACGATCAAGTTCGGAAGGGGCTCTAAAAGTTATTCATTTTTTTTTTTAACAACACCGCACTCCCCCTCCCCCCACTGAAAAGCGCGCGTACACTATAAATATTGTACGAGTATAGACATTTCGATGGCAGTTATCGTTAAATTGCACAATGTTCGGTCGACAACGTAAATGTTATTATTATAATATTATCGTCCAATCTATTTCGTCGTGACATTTTACATTGTAAACGTCCGTACGTAGGGAATCATAAACGAGAAAACTCGATCGCGCGTAAAATACGAGGCGATCCTTCAAAGATAATACGGGCGGCCGTATAATTTGTCGGGTTCCGCGCGCATGAATTCGGATTTTCATGTTCGAGTGAATTGCATCGTCGTCATCATCGTATAAATAATAACAATATACGTATTATATAAACTCCAATTTGGACGTGTATACATTCCGGATGGACGGGGGGGGAGGAGTGGAGGGGAGGGCGGAGCGGCCGAGAATGGGAAGTTATAAGCTTTAAACAATTATACGTAAGTCGCATTTCGTTATTCGCCCTGTATTCTATGCATACAACGTTAAAATATGTATGCTATACAAATGCGAGTTGATGGCACGCATCGCAACGCTTTATACAGAGTGTTCCAGAAACGAATGGCTGATTCTACGGGACGGCAGGGGAGAGCGAGTTCTTATTGTTTTGGCATGTTGAATTTTCGTTTTATCATCGCGCGTTTATAGGATTAAGTGAAACGGGGCCGTTTCATAAAACTAATTTCGTCGGCATCGTTTAGATCCCGAATGTCGGCGAAAAATGTATTGGTTTTGTAAAGATGGTTTTTTCTTTTTTTTATGTGAACACTTTTCATTTCACTTTTCATACATACCCTATTCTGAATGAAAATTTTCATTGGGCGGTACTTAAAGAAAATTCTTTTTTTGATTTTCGACGCCATTTTTTTAAAATAAAAGTACGTAAGTGGCAAAATATGTACAATTTAGGAAAACGTACAATTTCGCGATTTGATTATTTTATAAAAACATGGACGACGTTTTCTACCAGAAAAAATGATTTAATCACAAAATCACGAAATCGATTTTTTTCGCCTTATTGATTTACTTTTTTACTGTGTCGTTACCAAAACTTTTGAGCCGTTATTAAGGAATTACAATTTGTTTAGAAGATTTTTGTTGTGATTCGGTTATAAAAATACGTAAAGACTTGAAACCTGGTGATAATTCTTATATAGCTCAAAAGAGTTTTTAAATTCCCTCAATCCTGTTGTCTTGCCACCGCACGAACCGAAATTAAAAGTAGGTACTCCTATTATGCCATTGAGAAATTTAGGCTCTCCCAGTACGTGTAATGGCACAAGACGTTTTGATAAACGAATCACGAGACAACGTGATTGCAGCAACAATCATCACCAGCCCCGCGGCCGGACGGCTTGCTCACATTCCACGGATCACGACTGTCGTCTTTCACCCTGCGCCGCAAGCCGCGCCGAGGATTCGGCGTTCGATTGCCGTTCGTATAGCTCCGACGACCTCGCGTTTTGTCCTGCTACGGAACGTTCGGCGCTACACATTCCCTGGCCCGTACTCGTGGGTTTCCGTCTCCATTTCCAGCTCTCTGGCCCGCGGTTACGACGGCGCGTGCCCTATCCGACTCGCGAGACGACCGGGATTTTCGGAAGAAGATTCTCCGATTCAACGCGTTTCCGCTAATCTCGCTCGGGAACTGCCCTAAAGATAGTTGCGACATTTTTTTGTTTTTTTTTTTTGTTTCCAAGCACGTTGTTTGGAAGTTTTTTTTTTAATTTCAAACCGGAGAAAATAAGAACAAACAGTGTCCACGTTTCGCTACTGCTGGATAACAATGTACATCATAGTAATAACAGTAATAATAATATTTTTATTGTCCGCGATAACCGAATCAATCGTCCGTATCGCCCAAGGCACCGCAACGAACGAACAAAAAAAAAAAAAATAAATAAATAAATAAACAATTGCCGAAAACGACTGGAAATCCGATTGTCGCCTTTTTCGCAGGGATCCCTAGTTTTCTCCAGTAATACATTTAACCCGCGTTACGCGGGAATAATGTTCGCCATTCGAACGGCGAGAGAATTTTTGAAATCGGTCCAGCCGGCTTTGAGTTTGTTCGTTACAAATATTTCCTCTTTAGAATATTCAGAAGACAGCGTTAGCATCCGGTATAGGTGCAATATTTCAAAATATGTCTCATTGCGCTGTTGGTTTCGATACCGGAGCGAATCGATTCGTCCAAAGAACCCAGACGTACGAACATTATCTGTGCAACTACGTAGATTTTTTTCTTTTCTTCGATAATTCAATTCGTACGTACGCGGAGAACAACAGGAATGAAAACACCGTGTGCGCCGCTTGGAAATCGACGAGAAACAAACACGTTGTTCCACACACAGATAATAAATGTTCTTAACGCCGTTGAATTTCATAGCAGGTCAATTGACGTTGATACCAAAACTAACGGCGCATCGACGGTCCTGCTGAACGCGAATTCGCGGGCGCGGCGTCCTCTTAAACGTAACCCAATCGTTATCGAATTTACCGTAACTCGTCATTTTCCGTTTTCAAGTCGTTGTCGAGCGGTTGAGAAATATTATAAACTACCGACCTTTATGCCGGGTCGACATAACTACAATACTGTTGGATTTGTTCAGTTTGTATAATATTGCGTGCGTTTATAGTCTCTGGATTAGGCGCGCAGCGAATAAAACGGTATTGTCCGAAACAACACGATTCGTCGAGATTTTAAAGGGTTTTTTTTTTTGATTCTGAGCGAAGAATGTATTGGTCTTACAAAGATGTTTGTTTTGTTTTTTTATGTTAGCAATTTTTTACCGGATAGCACACTCCGATGTATACGAGACGTACACCCTTTTCTGAAATGAAATTTCCTTGTGATAATACATTGGAGAGGTAATTTTTCGATTTTCCCGGGAGTTTTCTCGACAAATGTGAAAAGAAACCGAAAAAAATAAACGGCGGAAAAACGGGAAAAATGTACGAAAGTAAGTGGTAGTTGAATAATATTTCTGCTTTTTTTTTTTATCCTGGTGAATAACGTTTTTACCGACGTTTTGACAATTTATTAAACAAATATTATTACGGAAAATATCCCTTCTGTATCCTACCTTCACAGCTTTCCGCCATCAACAGTGACTGCGCCCGGCCCCCTTTAACTTAGGACAGCTTTTTCAATATTATTTTCCTTAAAAAATTAAAACGTTTGGCCTTGCGCGACATTTCGTATACACATCATATCGTATTCCGCGCCGTTACATTACAGTAATACTCGGCGCTGTTGTAACGCCGCCATAATATAGCCGTGAACGTGTAGATAAATACCGAGATTGCTATGCATCCGTATAGAGGAGAAAAAAAACTTTACGCGAAATTTTCAAAGTAAAAAACGCGAAACGTATGTGTGTGACCATCTCTCTACGTACACTCGTGTGCAGCGACGCAATAAGCGCGCGCGTTTATGTAATATATGGTACGCGCCGTTCAAAAGCCTCTTTTGAATTCAAACTTTCAAGCCTAAGAAATCGCATTCGTATACATTTCAACTTAAAACTCTGGAGTTCAAAATTTAAAATAGTTTACAGAAAAACAATAACTTAAACCATACGCTGTCCTATACGTATATATGTAATATATACGCGTGTATAGGACGGCGGAATAGTGAAATTAAAAGCGGCGAAAACGAATAGCGGAGAAAAATATGAAAAAACTGTATAAACACCGACAGCGTAATAAAACGTGTACGATACGGCGAAGTTGAAAAAAAAAATAAAATAAAACGCAGTACAGTATTAAATTGCGACCGGAATAATACGATTATTTACCGCGTTTAGAAAAGAAAAGGCGCCGGGGTCATTATGGTGTGTATTTTAAATAATATTCTATTACGTATAAAATATACGTCATGTAATACGTTTTTTGTAAAATAATTGCTTTCGTTGGTGTTTTTTTTTTTTTTTTTTTAATAAGATTGTGTGTGTATATATTTTCCCTTTTGTCAAAGGGCTTAGTCTGTAAATAAAATTATATAAATCGCGAAAACCGCGTAACGCGAAATTGCACGACGACGTAATAGAGAACAAATTTCATAAGCGAAAAATAATGCACGCGAATGTTTTCGCAGTAAAAGCTCGAAAATCCCGAAGCGCGAAAACGTTCGGGTCGCGCGGGCAACAGCGCGGAAAGCTATTGTAGCCAGTGTATGGTTTTACAGAGATTCGATTTCCCCCGCCCCCTATGGAAACGCTTTTTCAATTAGTAAAATCGCCTCGGTTTTTTCACGCCACGCATTGAAAGATGCGGAATTTCCGCTCGTTTGAATTTTAATTGGAAAAATACCGTCAACCCGTTTAATAGTTGTCCTGAAAAATTAAAAAAAAAAAAAAAAAAAAACCCNCGTTTTTTGTAAAATAATTGCTTTCGTTGGTGTTTTTTTTTTTTTTTTTTTTGTGTTTGTTGATTTGTGAGTTAGGTTGACCTACACGTATAATATAACTTACCCGTATCCCGGGAAAAAAGAACAATTTTGAATACACTGATTGATTATTATTAGGGCTGCGAATTTAATGCAGTGGAAAATCTTAAGAACTAACGGTATTCGTACAATATGAAATGATCGTTTACATTATTATATTTTTGTTCTGGCTGCAGTACAACTAGCGTTTTTTTTAAAAATTAACTCATGTTTTTTTAATGTCGACCTGTTGTTTTGTCGTTTCCAATATCACGCGTACAATACGTATTGTATTTAAAAATTTATCCTTAAGTCTAACGACGCGAAAGAAAATTGTATAAACCGAAATTATTATTCCTGCCATTTTATTTAAATACAAACAATAAACGAACAGAACGACAAAAAGCGTCCTAAGATAAAGGGGACGGGTGCAGTCACTGTTATAAATAATTTAATGCATACCTGTCAGCCATTGATTACGAAAAAACGATTCTGAGCGGAGTTCAATTGATATTCAACAATGCAGTCAAGTGCATTGTCAACAATTTATATGCCATATTATAGTAAAATAATTAAGTAGGCTCTATACATTTTCATTAATAATATTTGTTTAATGTTGTACCGATTTTCTCAATTTTCCTACGTGTTTCCCGGTTTTCTCATGTTTTGTCACGGTTTTTACTGAGAACCATCTTGAATTAACCTGAATTATTCTGTGTAAACAAAAAATATGTGCGTACAAATGTTAACTGACGGAATTTGATTAAAAATAACGGAAAACTAAAACAGAAAATCTGATTTAAAAAGTCCAAAAAATGACATTATAAATTAAAAACGTCAAAAATACAAAACAAAAGTTTACATTAATTAATTTTTTGTGCGTGATTCAAATAATGCACTTAGAAAGCTGCATTTCACGATCAGTTTAAAAAAAAAAAAAAAAAATATGCACTTTCCTTCAAATTCACAGTCTTAATTATGACAAAAAAAAAATAATAATAATAATAATAATGATAATATATTATATTATAACATCAAAATTCTTTGACGCTTTCGTGACTTTTGGCAGACTACATTTGGTTCACTCAATAATAGCATGAAATTGTAGAATGGTTTTCATATGTAATTTTAACGAATGAAAGGATTGAAAGATGTATTGCAACCATTAATTATTTTTAAAAGTTTTAACTTTTTTGATAATACTTTTTCACAATTACAAACCGAAATTGTTCATAAGAAATATATTTTTTATATTTTAATATTTTTAAAAATTATATTAAATAAAACAGTTTTTCAATTTGCATGGTTAATTAAGATATCTAAAATCGTCGTTCTTTTTTTCCTTGGTCTTTTTACCGATTACCAACTTACCTACTTGCAGTTTATCGAGCTTCGTTCAAAACAGTTGGTTTTTTTTTTTCTATTGCAATCATTAATTCAAATTACCCGATATCCCATAATATAGCTTGACAATACACCATCCGCCAAGAGACAACGGAGAACCACCCGTATAATATGTGACACGAAGCATGTGCTGCATATTTTTATTTTTTTTTTTTTTTGGATTTTAGACTTTTTTCAGACTCTATTCAGAAACGTTTTTCGTTCCCAGTGATTTTCTATCGTTGTATTTAAACGTCTTGAAACGTATCATCTACCCGTCGTCTATACGAAGACAGTGGCAAGGACGCGAAACAATAATATTACATACGTCTCGTCGAGTTTTTGTTTTATTATTTATTTTACAATTCTATTTTAGTACTTACCTTTTTACCTATTTAGTATGTCGGTGTTTTTATTTCGTTTCCGTATTGTTGTCTCCTTTGTACAACTTTGGTCCATTTCCAACGCGCATACTAAAATTTATTATGTTGAACGTTAATGAAATTACCTATATTATCGCCGTAATGTTGTTTCGGTCGCGAGCGTAGCACTTGCAGTCGGACGGTAAAAAAAAAAAAAAAAAAACAAAAACAAAAAGTTTTCTTTTAATCGAGTTTTGAGTTAATCGAGTTTATCGGTGACTATTTAATTACCCTGTACATATATAAGTATTTGTTTTGGATTTTTATTTTTTTAATTATGATTCAATTACTTGCCTGTAATTTAATCTTATGTAAACATTTTTTACCCCGTCCTTATAATTATAGACAACTTTGCAACGGCAAAAACAGACAGTAATCTGTAATGTCGCGAGAACAGGTGGTTTTAAATTGATTTCATCAATA